TCTCTCTCTCTCTCTCTCTCTCTCTCCATCTTTCTCTTTCTTTCATCCCTCTCTGTGACTATTTGTCCATCTCTCTCTATATATCTTACTTTGTAAGGCCGATGTTTGTTTATTTGCTTGTATCGTAACGTTAACCTTCGCTGCGGAAGAACTGCACGGGTTCCAATCACCACTGCTGCCTTCTTAATACATACCGTGGTTAGAATTTTCGACGTGGGCTTTGTTTATTTAGTTATTAATTAACGGTCGTTGACAAAACAAGGTAACTGCTTTTTGTTGTTTGTTTGTGGTTTTGTGAGTCTATAGTGTGAAATGACCCACGAAGACTGAAGCTGCTGTCAAAGAATGTATAAGTAGTTGAACGTGAACACACCGACCCCAGTTTCTGTTTGGAATTGCCAATAATGATTTATGTTTTAGGCCTACCAGCACGTATATTAATTTATGATGCAGTGGAGCCAAAAATCTGCTATCGCTGCAGGCCTGTCTTTGTAATTTAAAAAAAAAAAAAAAAACCATTTTGATGGCTTCGATCCTGCCCAGCTGTAAGAGTAAGAGGGATACAATACGTCCCGGCAAAAAGACCGATTCGAGAAGGCTACCGGTACTCTGTAGGCGCATTTCATCTACTTTTTCCACATGGGAATCGAGCTAGGGTTTTCTGTATGCGAGAGCGAAGCCTCTGACCGCTACACCGTTAGCCTAGCCCAGTGTCCTAGTTACCCAGTGAGATCGGCAAGGAAGAAAAAATAGCCTTCTTCTCGCGAGCCCCTCTCCACTGCAGCTTTCTTATGAAGAACGCGTTAGTTTGTGAAAAGCACGTAAGCCTACGTACCATGTAACAAGTACTTCAAGCGGATAAAAAGAAATAGACCAAAGCAGAGGAGGCTAAAATGTCTCTGGGCTAAAATTAGTCACACACACCGGCGACAATTGCAAGGATTCATGGGATATATATGGCGGCGTAAATGATACTCAAGTATCTGGCGCCGCTGAAACTTATCTTGACTTTATTTGCCTGATAATTGCCTTTAGAACATGATAAAATATATTGTTATGGGATTACGCGGCTTCTTTGTGTTAGCGGCGAAAATATGGAGTTTTGTGTGCTATATATTCAAGAGACAAGTGCGTGCAGTGAGTATTGAATCCTTGTTGTGGAGATGGTCACTGACTGATGGTGTAGTGTAGTGTTCTTGTTACTTGCAGCGAAATGTTATGAGAGTTAAAAACACGACAGACCTGTTGCCTAGGGCTAGATCTAGATCTAGAACTAGATAACTAGATCTAGTCTTTTATGGCTATAAATAAATCCTTGTCGTAATGCTATTTTGCAGTTTACTCCATTCTTCTAACCCATTTATTGGAATATAATGTTTCCAGATGACATGTTACCATGAGTTTTAGAATTAAACTCCGAACTGAGCCCCACTTACCTGCACTCTGCATTCTCAAGTCTCAACAACACAAAACACAATTGTAAAAAATGTCAATGACAATGTCAGTCAATCTGCTCAGTTGGAACAAAAAATAGGACTTAACGACGGATTATCCAGAATCCAGATTCTATCTCCTGAGGCTGAGGCGTCATTGTCTTTGAGACTGATTGGCACGTTTGAGTGGGTTTTGCAGGAAAAAATAGGGCATGGGCATGACCTTTAGTTTTAGTTTAGTATTTTAGCACCAAAACAGTGCTGGTCTGAAAGTAAACATTTACGTACATGGTAAATTTTTCCATGCACCCATACACAGATGCACCGACAGCCACCGATTTGAGGGCTAAACTCAAACTGCCATGGCCTAATTTGTGCTGCAGAACACGTATGGCCACGTAAATCCTTTCAAATAAATTCAAAGCAATTGTTTTCGGGAAGATTGAAGAATACCGGACCACTCGTACATTATTGCGCGAGAATGAGGGGTAGGTGGGGGGGGGTGGGGGGGGGGGGGGGGTCTCCCCCCCGACAAAATATTAATGAATAGATCTACCGGTCCGAGACTCTCCATTGAGAGATATTAAAAACGGGAAAATTATGAATTCCTAAGGTTGAGACAGGCCAACTCGGTCCGCTGGTCCGGTATTCGGTAAGATTGAAGAATACCAGACCAGCGGACTAACTTTGCCTCTATGTACTATGTGTCTACCTTAGGAATTCATAATTTTCCCGTTTTTAATATCTCTCAATGGAGAATCTCGGACCGGTAGATCTATTCCTTAAAATTTTGTCAGGGGGGAGACCCCCCCTGAACCCCTCCTCCACCCAAACAACCCGCCCCACCTACCCCACTTTCTCGCGCAATAATGTATGAGTGGTCCAGTATTCTTCAATCTTCCCCCGGTATTCTTCAATCTTACCCCGGTATTCTTCAATCTTACCTTGTTTTCAAGTACAGTCGAACCTGTGTAAGACGGAATCGCAAGGGAGTCAGAAAAAACACTCCGTCTTAGACAGGGGAGATGGAAAAGGGGGGGGGGGGGTTTCCAAGGTTCAGCCGGTAAGGTCAAGGATCGCTTGTCCGGTCGGCAAGCAGGGGTCAAAACTTCACACCTCTCAATTGCTATGCTCTCTGATAATGACATGCATCAGTCTTACTTTATATAAATTACCACCATGCTTGCCTTTCAGAGGACCACTGTTTGACCGTAGATTAAAAACAGTAGAAACATTTGAACATCCTTTGCTTCCACCCTTAGCCCCTCCCATCGGTGTAACAAGCACAGTCAACCAATGCCACCCCTCTCTGCCATCTTGTAACAACGATTCGAAGAACTCTTTTCTCGGCTGGCTGTACAATCAGGGCAGCAGGAGGTATTGGTCAGTCTAATTTCACACCTCTGGCTTCTGGCTACCCTCGAAAGTTTCCTCAGTGGCTTGCTACTCGAGCACTCTCACGGGCTCACATGATGCAGTAACATCTACCCCCAAATTGCACCCCTACGAGACGTTCCCCTTCCTCGCCCAGCAGCATGGCCATGGCGTTAAGTTTTGAGCCGAAGGAACCAAACTTGCGAGTTTTGTTTCAAATAGGGGCTGAGCTGGCAAAACATTTTCCATCTTAGACGGGTGAAATCCTCAGAAGGGAGCGGATTTTTCTTTTCGTTTCCGCGTTGGACAGGTTTCCATTTTATACGGGTAATTAAAGAGGAATATCGAGGGGGGAGCGGGGAGATTCAGTTAAGACTGGTTTCTGTTTTATACAGATTTCCGTTAAGGCAGGTTCGACTGTAATTATATAAATATCCTTGCTAATTGCTAAAACTAAATGAAGTGACTATTTCTCCGAACGTTCGGAGAAATAGTGCCGATCTTTATTTCTCCGAACGGTTTCCTGTTTCCAGTCTCGTGATTTTTTGCCTATTTATTGCGAGAGTTCGGCGCCAACTTTCATTCTGCGTCTGGTCTGGGAAGAAACACCGCATGGCAAGCCCGCCTACATACAACCTTCAGTAACACCCACCGCCATCATGCACATGTATGTACACACACAAACTTATACACACACTAACTAAACATGATCAGTGGGCAACTTTTGAACGTATAACGAGCTGACCTGTGGATGGAGAGACAGTGTGAGTGAAAGAGCGGGTGAAAGGAAGAATGTACGAGTGTATCCACAGGCGACAGCAACTACAAGACGACGACACCGACCCCCCTGGCCTGGTCCACAGCTCATGAACGAAAGGAATGTGGCTAAGGCAATGTTTTGCCTATATTGTTGTCCATGGTTCGCAGGGTGCAAGGGATTGAGTGAGATTTTCTTTGTGTGTGCCTGGATGTAGGGGGTGGGGTGTGAAAGTCATGCGGACGGGGATGAGCCACGGGGGAGAACACAGGAATTGAATGAATGAGTGAAACTGCGACTCATGAGCCCTGGAGTGAATGGATCCTGTGTTTCTATTTTTGTATACACCTTGAACTGTTACTGAATAAAGGCTGAAATAAAGCCCGAAAAACAAACACACACACACTTCTCACCCTCCACCTACACACTTACTACCACACACAGACACACTCACACACGCGCATGCATACACACACACACAGGAGCAAATTTTTGGGTCTATATCTATTTCAATTTTCAAGAGCTAGTCTAGAGATTTTTAGATGAGTGTAAAAACGTGAAAAAGAAAAGTTTCACAACAGGATGAAATCAAAATTAGAACAGCCCATAAACAACCACAAAAATTAACAAATAAGGGCGTGTGTCCACCTGTCCGAAGATGATTGGCTGTTTTGACCCTAAATGTGCGTAAATTTTTTTTAAAGTACAGGATATTACATGTAAATTATGGAATCACTCACATTAAGGGGCCTGCCAGTGTCAGTACATGTAATCGGTTTTGGTGGAACGTACGCTCTACATTTTAATCTCTCTCTATATATACATGTATATATATATTTGGAATCTAATGAAGGTAGGAACATCAAATTAAATGACGTTACACTATACTATACAATATCCCCCCCCCCCCCCCCCCCCCCCTTTTCCCCAACAAAAAAAAATTGATTGAAAAACAACACATCAGAACAATAATAACATTAACAAGGGATAAAAACTACACTCTAACAAAATAACTGTAACGTATTCAACAAATCAACGTGGTGACGGGTGAGAAAGAGACGAAATGAAGCTAAGTTAACTTTCTTTTAAAAGTAAAGAGGTTTGGTTTCTTTCTTTCTTTCTTTCTTTTTTTTTAAAATTGACTTTTATTCCCCGATTCGGGGACCAAAAAAGTGCCAAAAATTCGAGCCACGATTCGGCCACGACAAACGCAGATGCTAGTTCTATGTGTGTCGTTTTCAATAACCCTCTGTAGATGTAGATCTAGACAGCACACGAGTGAACGCAACACATTAAGTTTAAGACCAGCACCCTTTATAGGCAACACGTCATATCTGTAGCGAAAAACTGTTTGGAACTGTAGCATTTCTTTATATTATAAATATTTACTGCAGACATTTTTCGGACCGATTGAACCATATATAGTATACGAACAATCTTTGGTAAGCCTATACTCTATAATATCCTAAATTTGCGGGAAAGGATATGATTTCTTCTGAGTGTTTGGAGAAATAGTGCCCAGCTTTACTTTCCCGAACGTTCGGAGAAATAGTGCCTAGCTTTATTTTCCCAAACGTTCTGAGAAATAGTGCCGGCCAAAACTAAATGCAGGGGGGGAAACCCCCTAGAGTCTTTTTAGGTCAGGGGGGCATCCCCCATGTTGTTAAAAACAAGTCAAATATTACTGTGCCAATGGTCCTACTGTAAAATAACTGTTGATTTGCTGCAAAAATGAAGACCATATTCATTCGTGTTTAGCATGCAAAGTACTACTAGAAAAAAGTAAAACCTGTACATCAGACAGGTGCATGAGTAAAAAAAACCCAACCAATTATATATATATAATATAATTAAAGTACAATTTTACTTTACTTTATCCGTCCTCTTGTACCTCTAGGGCGTCATGGGGAGAAAGAGCTTGTTCTTACTAGCAAGTTTGATGGCCTGGCTGGGTGGGATATTGTATGTTCTCAGGGTATCCTTCACACCCTGGATCCAGGTCTTTCTTGGTTTTCCTCTTGCTTTGTACCCTGATACTTTCCTGTAGTAGGCTTTACTGGCTGGCTGGTGAGGTGCCATACGTGTTACGTGTGAAATCCAAACCACCTGATTGTTTGCCGTCGAATGTAGGGGAGGCCAGGCCAGGTGTTGTTCCCAATATTTCTCTGATCTTGTTGTTTCTGACCATGTCCCGTCTGGTTTTGTTGACGGCTCTCCTTTGACATCTAAGTACTGCTAGCCACTTCGAATTAAAAGCTGGTTGACCTTTCAAAGCAATGAATCTGTGTAAATCATCTTGTGTCTAATAATTTACTCTGTTTTTGTATTTCATGATCTATAGACCAGTTTTTTGTTTTTGTTTGATTTGGGGGTTTTTTAAGGCTTATCTTCAGAAAGAACGAATAGACAATAGACCATCTGATGATATAGCAAATATCAATCATTATTTTATGTGATCAGTGTAGCAGTCTCTGGTTCTTATCCTTGTTTCTGAACTGTTAACGACAGTGACAGTGAATTTGAGTAAAACCCTGATAGCATGAACTTAATGGCACCTGAGATTGTCTAAGTGTGATAAAAGCAGAGATTGTGTTAAGCAGAGTGCTATAATGAAAAAAAGAAATATAAGGGGAGGTGGATCCTTTTGTTGGAGAAACAATGGTCTAATTTGTGTATGTTGTATTAAAATCAACACACAAAAGAGAGGACAAAGGTCACATGCTAGGCCTTGTGAACCTATTTAATCCTAATAACTATGATCATACAGATCTGCCTACCTTTGAAATAAAAAAAAAGAAAGGGAAACCTGATGGATGCCTTGACTGCACAGAATGAGGTTCAAAGGAGGTTGTAGCTGTTAGCTTGTTAATTGTTTTCCACGCTGCTACTCCGTAAAAAAAAATTAAAATAAAACAACAAAAAAAAGGAATTGTAAATCATAGCTGCACATTTTATCATTATTAATTTATAATAAATACTGATAATCTGTGCTGTACATTAAAAAAGGGGACAAGTTCTCATTAAATTAGGGATGGTTGGCAGCTTCGCAATTATCTAGTCTTTCTGTCTGGCCTGAAAAATAAGCGTCTTTCTGGTTCTCTCTACTTGCTGCGTACATAAAAAAAGAGAAAACTCAACAATATGGG